AGACAGGTAGGCACCTTGTCAACATGCACATCAAGCGAAGCCACACCGAGAATATCAATCAACAGCCATTCAGTTGAAACGGTAAGATGAAATAAAATAAATCCAGTAATGCATACAGATACGGTGGCATAACCGTTCGCTAAATTACATAAGAAGTTAGTTGGTTAGAAACGAATCCGCGACAAGTAAAAAATGTCCAAAAGTTACTTAAAAATGCAACAAACGCAACAAAGTTACCGAAGATAAGCGCAGTTAGCGTAAGCAACGTGGCCAGTTAATAGAAGATTATTCAGATAGGCAGAACAAACCAAATAAAGTGGAATGAAATGTATCCATCTTAAAGAGACCAAGTTTAAGTGTAAGGTGGTTTAGCCCAACTGCGGTGAAGAAGCATCAAGAATGCAACATCAGCCTCAGCATGGGCACGCATACCTACATGGTTAGCGGCATCCGATTTCGGATTTGTCTGTCACTGTGACCAGCCAAAGGACGCCTGCGCCTACAGAGGGACCATGGGTAGCTTGCGCTGCACCACCCACAGCTCCAACCACACACCCCATATCCAGTGTAAACCCGAAGGAATAAGACCGGGAGGCATGTGGATGGGAGCCACGCTTCATCAACGGAGCCGGCCCACACTCCTTCACAGGCAAACACAAGCACGCTGTATTCGGAGAATTAAGTGCACACAATGCGGTGGATGCACTGTAGCCCGCTCCACGCTGAGTGCATGGAACCACTCTTTGATCCTAACACGGCCACAAGGACCGTGCACCTCGACCCCCACAGAAACGACCAACTGTCTCTTGGGGCCAGCATGAAACAGGTAGGCACCTTGTCAACATGCACATCAATCGCAGCCCCACCGGAGCTTTCAAGTAACAGCCAAGCACTTGAAACGACAAGATGAAATAAAATAAATCCAATAATGTATAGACTACGGTGGCATAACTCTTCGCTAAATTACCATATGAAGTAAGTTGGATAGTAACGAATCCGGGATAAATAAAAATGCTCACAAGTTACTCAGAAATGCCACAAACGCAACAAAGTAACAGAAGACAAGCGCAGTCAGCGAAACCAACGTGGCCAGTTAATAGAAGATTAGTAAGGTAGGCAGAAGAAACCAAACAAAGTGGAATGAAATTTATCCAGCTCAAAAAACCTATATATTGGCTGGTATTGGTTAAGTATGGTTTCTCGCGTAAGTTTGTAAGTTTAATTGAATATCTGCACAGTGGTATGCAAGCGAGGGTGCAGCCAAGTGGAGAGACCACGGATGACTTTGCATTTTTCTCTGGCGTAAAGCAAGGCTATGTCTTAGCTCCTGCCCTGTTTAATATTTATCTTCATGCCATGATATCTTGTGCTTTTGATACCGCTTGTGCTTACGATGTTCATGTGGAGCACCGTATTGATGGTGGGTTGATGAACATCCGTCGTTTCGGTACGACAACTCTATTTTGTGAGACAACTACCCGTAGGTTGCTGTTTGCTAACGACTGTACGTTATTTGCACACAGCACGAATGAGTTGCAGCACATGACTAGTGCTCCGGCTTCGACAGCGACCAAATTCGACCCCACCATCAACACAAACAAAATTGTCTGTCTCTTTCAGCCTTCACCGGAGGTGCAATCTGCAATATTGCCGCAAATCAGCATTGGTGCTGTAGTATAGGAAGCCACCTCCCGCTTCAGCTAGCTTGGGAGTGTGATGCCGACTGATCAGCAGATACATAGTGAGCGACGTATTCGCGTGTCGAAGGCAGCGGCGGCATTCGGGAAGCTAGAATACCGAGTGTGGAACAACCATCAGCTTAACATTGGCACAAAGCTGATGGTGTACAAATCCATGGTACTGTCCGTTCTTCTATACGGCAGTGAAACGTGGACGCTGTACCAAGGGGATGTGTGATATCTCGAGCGGTTCCATCAGCAGTGTTTGCGACGGATTCTGAGCATCGCTTGGAGTGACAGAGTTGCGGACAGGAAAGTGCTGCGACAAAGTGGGATGTATGCAGTGGACTGCATACTCTTGCTGAGACACCTAAAGTGGCTCGGCCATGTGAGCCGTATGGATTCGACGCGGATAGCGAAACAACTCTTATATGGTCAGCTGAGTATTGGAAAGCGGCATGTGGTGAAACCAAAGTTACGTTACCAGGACATGATCAAAGTGAGCCTCTCACGTTCTAATCTTGATTGCAGATCATGGGAATCGAAAGTGGTTGATCAGCGTGCATCGCGCGAGATGATCACGAAGGCAGTTGCGAAGATGCAGGAGAAAGACCTTTTACATGTGAAGAAGCGGCAAATGCGGAAGCGGCAGGCGCCGATGGATTGTACTCCATTGACATCGAGCGCATGGTGCTGCAGCACATGCGGTCGCGAGTGCCTGAGTCAGGCATGCCTAGAGAGCCATGAGCAAGATCACTCGGGGCCACCAACGAAGTGACGACTGGTCCTGCAGAGAACGTAGGCAAAACCAGCGCAGCGTTTGTAGGTACGCTTAATTCGATTTACTAACCGCGTGTTTACATGCTGAGTCTATTTATTTCAGGTGGTGGGTTTTCAATTTTGTCCTAATGCTTTTCTTTCTCATATAAATGCACACCTGCACGCTCTTCTATAAACTTGCACACGTCGCTTAAGTTAATTATAGTTAATTTTGATAAGATTTTCGTGTTTGTGGCATTTCCGTAAAATATACTTTCTGACCTCGTGAACTTATGTTGTAAACAACTTATTTTAAATGCTCATTAATTTAAGATTTATGCCACTGTTTCCTTATGCATTACTCGATTTATTCTATTTGTTATCTTTCACCCAAGTGATTGGCTGTGGCTTGATATCCCCGGTGTGGCTGCGTTGATGTGCAGGTTGACAAGGTGCCTCCCTGTCTATTACCCACTACCTCGTCCATACTGGCTCCAGGAGACAGTTGGTCGTTGCTGGAGGGGACGGGGTGCACGGTCCTTGTGGCCGTGTGAGGACCAAAGTGGTTCTATGCACTCAGTGTGGAGCGGACTACGGTCCAGCCCCCGCTTTGTGTGCGTTTAATTCCCAAATACAGCGTGTTTGTGTTTGCCTGTGAAGGAGTGTGAGTTGGCTCTGCTGATGAAACGTGGCTCCCATCCACATGCCTCCCGATCTTCTTGCTTTGTGTTTACACTGGATATGGGGGTGTGGTTGGAGCTGTGGGTGGTGCAGCGCAAGCCACCCATGGTCCCCTTTGTAGGCGCAGGCGTCCTGTGGCTGGCAACAATGATTGGCAAATCCGAAACCGGATGCCGCCAGCCTTATATATATATATATATATATATATATATATATTTATATATATATATATATATATATATATATATATAATATATTTATATATATATATATATATATATATATATATATATATATATATATAAGATGAACTGGGCGCATTTCCCTAGACAATGTGCATTAATGGCTGAAGCCGCAAATAAATAGCAGGTAACAATGGCGCGCATCATGCACCGGGTGGTATAAGCGTACCCATATAAAGCGTACCTGAAAAGTTTGGGAATTACTGCAGGGCCGTTTTTAGTAAAACTTAGTTGTCAGTGCATTAAGTGTAACGCCCGTTTCGATATGCTAATGGGTGATCCATCATCAGCTAGCTATCAAGAGATGAAGCAACTGTACTGAAGGCACCAAATTGGCCAGGCAATAAGGCTGGCCCCGTTAAGTCATTTATGATTAAGCAATAGTATAAAACAACCACCGGAATGATACTTCGCTTCAAAATGAGAAGCTAGCATCCTAAATTGTGGTTGATGGTAGGCAAGTGTGTAAGGAGGTTGCTGGTGTTGAGATGAAGCAGTAGCACACACTGTGCATTGTCATGCGCTTAGCCTTTGTTACCGCGTGGTAGATCGAGTTTAACCACCTGCGATGCAAACGGTCGGAGGGTGTTCACGAGACATAAATACTACTCCGAATATGTGTACTGTATTGTACACAACAAAGTAGATGTCAATTGTCGTTAGCAGCAGGTCGCGTGGCCTTTGCAATAGTTTGAATCATGGTGGGGTGCAAGTACAGTGTGCACGCAGACACAGATTTTGCAGGAAAAATACAAACGACATTGTGGCTTTGACAAGGCACCATCCTGGGATGCCAGCAAGCTCCTTCATCCATGGACAACGGGAGTGAGGGCGGATCTGAAGTAAAACGAGGCGTGCTTCCAACTTGCATGCCTATAATTCAGGTTTACATTAGACACTGTATATGCGAACGGAGAGATACCAATGGTCTAGCCGTAATAACAAGCGTTGAGTAACAGATCGCATTAGGGAGAACAAGTAGGTCAGGAAACCGAAACCACTGCCGACAGAGAACAGATTGTGCAAAACTAAAAACTAACAAACTAAATATGTCTGCGGGAGCAATGGTACTCGGTTCTCAGAAAGGAACTTGCATGACCATAAACGTAATCACCTCAAAAAATAAATTGTGTGACACAAGGATGGAACTGCAGTTCATAGCCTCCATATTGCTAGGCTGTAGCTTCAGATGTACTTCACATTCTTTGAGTTAAAATATGCTACTACATATAGATGGAAAATTAGAACCTATGACCGTCATACAAAATCGTAAAGGATCAGGTACTTGTAGCAGCAGACAATCCATAGGTGGCTTAGCAAAGCGGACTGAGTATAGTTTAAGATGAGTGCAGAAAAAAGCACGTCACATTGACGCCTGTGGTGAAAAGAGCAACATAAAACACAGTGCGAAAAAAGTAAATGAACAACCGCGGAATTGTGGCGAGACAAGTAAATACGTGAAGCGTACACACATCACATGTGAAAGAAGGGGTTGATGGAGGTGAAGCCAAGGAAGCGGTAACAAAAAGTCCACCAAACAATGGAGTGCTGTATATCAGAAGCGATGAGCAAGTTTCACATGCAGAAATATAGCACCCCACTTAAGTTATGGTTACAAGTGGATCTACAGCGAACTTACGCCAATCGATGCCTCCAATGTACTTGGAGGAAGAGATAGAACGACGAATATTTGAACTGCGCCTCAAAGATCCACCAAGCTGTGGACCGAATCCACAGGAGTAATCCATTTTATAGAATACGAAAACCGGGTAGCGCTTCAATGTGCGCGAAAAGCTCACTGGGGCGGTGTTGCAGGATTACGCTGGCAGATGTTAAATCAGGATAAACGCCGATTGTTGGGAATGATTGCGATGCGATTATAACATATAGCAGCCATGGACAAACACATGAAGCACCGGAAGCAATAGCGTCAACTTGAAGAAAGAAATCCGTCAGCTATGAGAATGGACCGATGAAAAGATAGAATCACAAGACTCCAGGAAGGCAATGAAACACCGTTAAAAATGCGCTAGAAGTACAGAATATGAAGCGTCCCCCATTCGGTGTGGCAGAATTTGGCAAGAAGAATATGAACGCAATAATCGCTCATAAAGCAAAAATTCGTCGTTTTAAAGACAAAAAGAGCGATCCCTGATTGTTATGGAAAGGATATTGATGAGTAGCAACCAGGGTCGGAAACAAGGGAATTGCAACTGCTGCGATATGAGAACTCTTGGGAAGAGTTGAAATAGTTCGAGCGAGTCACCAAGCAGAGGATGTGCAGTTAGTTTATATCAAAACATTGTTTCATCAAAGTTGCTGGGTTGGTGTACATTGGCACCGTGAGCAGGGCCCAAGGGAACAACCATAATAATGATTAGAAACCGTATTGCATATAAGGAAGTCATGAAACAAACTACACTCTCACATTCGCATCTGCCTAGAGCCGTTGACTATTCCCATCTGATAAATGAAAATTTTAGATCAAAATTAAACGTTCACTTCAACGCTATTTATCGATTTGGTGATTACCATACAGTGCACTGTTTGTGGTGAAATGAAACAACTGCAGTCAATGTAATTTAGAAAAAAGCGTGACCGAACGATTTAACATATTCTCGACAAATGAAGTTCCGGTAGTAGGTCGAGCAATGACAAAGATTTCAGTAGAAACAAATTCCAACCGCTACTTCCACAGCGGGCGGATTATTCGACAGACAGGCTCCTACCAGTCAAGGGGAATGGCAAAGTGCTCAAATCAGCGTCCAAAGTTGTGCTGTGTTCCGCCACCTTGCAACTATCAGTTTTCTGAGGCTAGCGCAATAATATAAGTCGGTGGGTTAAAATATAATTGTCAGCCATAAGCCGTTCTGGACTTAGGAGTACACTTCCTTGCATTTACTATGCCTCCCAAACTTTTCTGGTCCCATCCTAAGTTAGGTACATATCTGCATACTGGTATATAGTTAGTGATGTGGTTAACTGTGATGAGATAATATGAAGTGCGAAATCTACTAGCTTTCGTTTTCCCGAGATCTTATCGAAGAAGAGGAGTGGGATCATCATCGTCATCATCTGCCTAAGAAAAATGTTACGCGATCGTACACTTTAGATGTGACAGGGCTGCTGTGAAAGAAAATCGCCGACCGCTTGTGTCATTTGGGTTAGCCTCTCATCATCATCCTTATTATTATCATCATCATCATCACCACCACCACCATCACCAGCATCATCATCCTCATCATCATCATCATCATCATCATCAACAACAACAACAACAACAGAGCACCAGCCATTTGAACCGATGCTTCGCTGCCGTACAACGACAACGACATACGGAACAAAGAACAATGACGAGGAGATAACGGGGATCTGGCGGAAAACCTTAATGCTCTAAACAAGCATTAAGGGTCTAGGTGCTTACACTTGCGTTAACAACATAGCATCACAAACAGCTGGCTATCGTGCAAAGATAAGGTGGCATCGGCGAGACAGCTTCCTTGCGGCTTTCACGGCTCAGCGTTATAAGCAGCAATCACCTCACAGATCAACTGGCCCTTCACCAAGCAGCATCTTAACGCCTGCATCGTGAGCTTCCGCAAGGGAACACACCATGATGGAGTCCACGGCGAAATTGAACAACAATGGGGAAATCGGACAACCCTGATGAACGCCACTTGGTATCGGAAAGATATCCACTAAGTGAAAGAAACCCCTGATGCGGTTTGTAGTGTCAGAGTACAGATCACGTAAAATGTTCGCATATTTTATGGGAACACAATTCTGTACAAGTATATGGAACAAAATGCATCGATCGACTTAATCGATGCTCTAGCATCTACCGCAAAGTAAATATATGGTCTTTACAACCCGTCCTTGGCGGAAACCTGCTTGCTCTTCTATAATCCGGGATTCTAGCTTCGCAGTGAGGCGACAAACGAGAATTAAGGCCAGCAATTATGCCACAAATGGCCTTAAGCTAATACGCCTGTAAATTGTCAATATGATCGATGCACTCTGGTTAGCCGAGACAATCTCCTCCTTCCAGACATGTTCGAACAGGGAGGTCAGTACTTTGCAGTTTACCTCATATTCTTAAATAATGCATGTGGGAGGGGATCTGGTTCGGCAGCACGAAAACGACTGACGGCTGTGATCACGTTTCGGACCTCAGCCCACGATGGCGCCCCTAAAATAACCGTCCATGGCTCCTCCTGCATCACCAGAGTAGGAAGAGGACCGGTAGAAAGGGGCAACTGAACCACCCTCGGAAGTACGCTACCGAACGAGCCATGCGGTGCTCCTTATTGTGAATCATGGCACCCGTGCTGTCTGACTGTCTCACTGGCGCGTGGTTTCTTGAGACCAGTGGTGCGGATCAGTTGGCTAATTATAGCCTGTCGTCAAGGCAGCGGGTCTGTTAGAATGAGAGATGGCAGTTATCGGTAGTATTCGCTTTTGGTTTCCTACCGAGCTGCTGTATACTGAAACACATGACAAAACAAAAGGCTATTGTCTTCAGATGCTAACCATTTACATCTATTTAGGCCAGAAGTTAAACCAGAGACGCGGCTGTTATCTGGAATACAGTGTGCAAATGCTCGGCAACCTTTTCCATAGGGCAAACTCGTCTTCCATGAATTCCATGGTATGTAGGTTCCAGCGTATCTCACACAGTTTAGATATATGTAGCACTTCGTGCTAAGATTGATATTGTATTTATCGTGCTTCTGCACTCCAATTAGGTGAGTGACCTACACCCACGCTTGTTCAGCAAGTATATAAATCTGACTGATTCAATTTTAGTATATATGCTCATATCCGTTATTCATCCGCATATCCTCTGTCTATACTGCACTTTGTCATCTTTGCTTTCGTTGCTAGATAATTGATATACCCTGGCATAAATGCACTCTTGGTAAGATCACCCTCACACTAGATCACATACACATTTTATTGTGCTCTGTTGCTATTCTGTCGAAAATTTAATGTCCTATCATCGTCTTTTTTCCTTCACGGTTTGTGATTACTGATTGATATCTCCAATAAGGCAGCGCTTGACTCAAATGCGGACAACTGCCTATCTGTCGAAAAACCGCTACCTCGATTATACTGGTTCCGGGAGATAAATGCTCGTTATTTGGGGAGACAAACTGCACCTTCTTTGTGACCGCTAGGTTCAAAGATTGGTTCCATGCACCCAGTGTGGAGCAGACTACGACCCGGCAACCGCCTTATGCACGTCTAGTATACATAATTCCCAAGGTAGGCAAGAACGCTCTAGGCGTGAATGCTGAACGAATGCGGGCCGACTCCGTTGATGAAAAGCGGCCCATCCACATGCTTCCTAGCCTAATTACTTTGGGTTATCGTAATGCGTAGATTGAGCGGTGGGAAGCGCAACGCAAGCCCCCCATGGTTCCTCAGTAGGCGCAGGCGTTTTGTGGCTGCCCTATAGAGGCCTCAGTGATAGGCAAATAAGGAATCGGACGCCGCCAAACATATGTATCAACATATCATGATAGGCGTTAGCTATAGGTGTGAAATACCTCGGCTACTGTGTAGCAATACATTAGAAAGGAAAGAAGACGCAAAAGACACGTCAGCTGTTTCATAAATAATGGATGGAAGTCATTCCGGAGAGCTAACAATCGGCTATTTGGTCGGAAAGTTATTTTACTTGTCCGAAATGAGATCGTGGTTGGACAGGGAGGCAAACAGAACGAGTAGGGACAAACAAACTCATAACACAAACCACACTGAGGCCGGCTCTTCGCCATGTCAAGTGCATAAAAACAAGCGTGTTCATGGTCTTTCGGACTCTAGCCAGGAAGCCGAGAGGCTCCAACCGAGGCCAACTTGGAACTAAGGGACTACATACCACTTGACCAAGTCAACGATTGGCCATCCTTCCCCTTCTTCCATCCAGACTACGGGGGCATAAACAATGCACGTCACGAGTCGGTGTGCTGGCATGCGCAACATGTGACCAAGCCATCGGAGTCCGGTGCATGAAACAATGGTGCTGAGCGGTTCACACGCTCTTCCTGTGCCATAAACAAAGGGTGGAACAGGCGCATTGCTCACGCGTGTTCTCACCAGAAATGACCCAACCTGCGAAGGTACCGATGGTAAACATAACTAGCCCCATTGTCTGCCAATTAAATTGGGCAGGTTTCACAAAGGTACAGTGGGGTCGGAGGTGCGGATGCATTGTAAACTCCACACATCAGAGAATGATAACCCGTCAGCAATATATATATATATATATATATATAATTAATAGTCTTGAAGATAGATATAGAGCTAGCGAAAACCATGAAATGGAAGTAATAAATACAGAGACCAAAAAGAAGAAAAGGATGAAAGCTACGAAAAAGATTTCTTGGTTGTAAATCATGTCTGTTTTCTTATTTCTTTTTTCACTTGTCGTTTTATCTTTTCGTGTGCGTTTAATGTTTGCGATGTAAATCAGGAGAATCAAGACAAATATGAGTACATATTTTCCATTGGGCCCGGTACTGCGCATCCATGGCGATGCGGCACAATAGCGGAGGTGTTTTCCTACCTCTAGCTAAAGTGTATAATGAGGTTGATGGTATTGCGCCATCTCCGAAAGAGTATCCAGCCAGCGATGTTCCCCACTTTTGATCCCCTAGCCAGGAAGACGCACGGGACCTATGATAGCCAAACTGGAAGTCTGCGCTTTAATGGTTTGTCTGTAAGTGATAGGCTGACGATCGCGCGATTTCTTTCAGCCTAGTCCTGTACGGGGCAGCCGTTCTCATGGCATGCATAAAACGTGGCCCAGCCATCTCAGCTGGCGCAGCGGTATCAGTCTGTCAAGTGGAAGTCCTGTGTTACCCAAGACGCGACGTCTAGCATCATCGCTTCGCACGCGATTCATCCACCAAGAGCTATTCTCTGCAGACATCCGTTGTCAAAGACCGAAATCT